TTTAATTTTTTCTTTTCCTCCTGAGAAAAACCCAGGGAGAATTTCAAAACACATGAAAAGCACTGACCAAGAAGCTACTTTTTAATTGCAAAGGTAATGTTTTGGTTAAAAGAAAAGTGTTTAAATACAGAGAATACACAACCTGCTGATTGTAAAACTGTGGCTGGAATTTGAGAGGCTGCACACAGGCTGTGCTGGGATGGTGCCACACCACACTGCTGGTTAGATGAAGCAGGAGGCCATCTCCAGCCTGGGCTGCTCAGGCTTCCCCTCTGAGAGATGTAAACTTGTAAGAACTGGCCCTCAGCTGCCTCGGTTGGATTTCTTTTCTGATTGATGCTGATCTCAATCCACTGTTTGTAAACAAACCCAGACCGCTGCCTGTGATATTTTGGAAGTGATAGGATGTGGTAACCAAAATGGGGCAGGAAGCCTCAAGGTGGCTGCTGGACACACTCACTCTTAGCAGTCTGGAAGGTTACTCTCTGGGTTCTGGGCCACAAGGTCTCCAGGCTGCAGTCTGAGCAGGGCTTTGTCCTGTTTCTCCAGATGACTACTGAGTTTTTGGAAATAAAAATTAACACACAGCACACCACAAACTCCCCCACCCTGTGTCTGGCAGGGCAGAGAGACCATGACTCTCCACGTGGCCCCTGTGAGTAAGACACCACTTGCTCATCTGAAAGTGCCACTAGCAAACCAATGTCCTCTGCAGAGGACACAAGCCATGGAGCAACGCAGCTCTATCTGCAGTCACTGGGGACTGAGGGTTGATGCAATCTCCTGGATTTGGTCCCAGCCCTTGGATCCCTCATTCATATTGTGGACCTCTCTACAGGGGTGTTGTCCAAGAGCTGTGCCTTCCCAAGCCTTGCAAAGCATAGGAGTGAGTCTTTGGACATCCTGAGGAACAAACCCCATAGCAGCTGGCAATAACTCACTGGTGTGGTTGTCCTTCTGTGAGTTGCTGCAGAAGAACAGCAGCTTGGCATGGCTGGAGCTTCCCCAGCCCTGGAAAAACCCAATTTTCATAATACAGTAGAAATCACCATCACTGGTAAGCCAAAGAAAACTTCATCCAGTCATTGGTTACCCCATGAAGCCCCTCATAGCCTCAGATTAAGCTCAGACAATTTTTCCTTTGCTTTGGGATTAATAAGCAAGTCAGACTGTGGGAATGACTGGTGCAAGGCCATTTTCTCTTTGCCACCATGCATCACATCTCATGAGTTTCCTGAGTTAGCAGCAGGTCCCCCCCACCATGGACAAGCTTTGTTCTGGTGTAGAGGCCAAATGTGTCAAAGCGTTTATTAATTCTGAGCTGCTCCCTCTGCAATGCTTTGTTGAGGAGGCTTCAAGAAATAATGGAGTTTTGGGTTCTGTAGCAGCTGCTTCAGTTTCTGCTGAGTCCAACAACAGCACTTCTGGATTGAGAATAAAAAAAATACATCTCAAACTATAAAAGTTTGAGCTGGTTTATGTTCAGTTTGACTCTGGGCTCCCTGATGGATTGAGCGATTCAGGGGCACATCCTGCAGACCTGGCATGACTCTCAGACACCAGCAGTGTGAATCCAACTGAGTGCCCCCAACACTGACCTTTTCCCAAGGACCTCTTGTCTGGACTGGGCCCTGGACTGCCTTTCCCCTCTCACCTGAGTTTCCCTGAGATACTCTCTTTGCTGCCTGATTCCTCTGCTCCTCCCCTCTACGTCCCTCCCAGCTCTCTGCTGTCCCATGGGAGGCCCAGCTGGGAGGCTGGGCTTGGTTGGTACCTCTTGGGGCACCAGAGGGCACAGGGAGGAGGGGGAAGAAGAAAAGGCTCCCCAGAGCTGCTGCTGATGGCAGCGGGAAGCAGTGTGTGTATCCTCTCTCAGGGGATGATGGCAAGGTACATTGTGGTGGAAAGCATGATAGAGAAGCCCTGATAAATCCCCAGGAGTTTATCAGTGTGAGTAGACAAAGACCAACCTCTATCTAAGCAAGGCTCCCACTCCATTTCTCTCTCCTCTCTTCCTGTGCCCTCTGTGCAATCAACTCTAGCTGAGACAGGCTTGGTCTGGTGGATTTCAGCAGTGAAACGAGAGGATTTCATCACCCCAGGGCTATCTGACAGCATGGTGGCTGTGGGCTGGTCTCTGGCTTGCCTCTGTGCCAGGCTGTGCCCAGCTGGCTGTGCAGCTGCTGATGCCTCTGAAGGGCTCTGGGGGTGGCAGAAGGACAGGGAGGTGTGCTCCTCGCAGGGGTGAGTGGCATCGAGGGACGTCTCTGGTGCTGGGCAAGGCTTTTTCTTCTGTGTCAAGCTGGCTTCGGGCATTGGAGGCACCTGGATGGTGCTGGCCCAGTGACTCCTGTCCCAAGGGAGGTGGCTTGTAGCCATCTTCTTCCTTGGTCTCCTGTGTGCCTGCTTCTAGGGCCAGCCCTGCCTGCTCCTGGGTGTTCCTGCATCTGCTTGGCTGGGCAGAGTTAAGGTGATGCTGGAGGAGGGATCTGGCTGCTGCTGTCTGCGGCCAGGGCAGCTGCTGTGGCTGTGGCTACCTGGGAGCTGAGTGCTGCTGATCCCCTTCCAGCAGTGAGCAGTGGGGACCTGCACAAAACGTGACAGCTGGGCAGCCCCAGCGGGGAGAAGGCTGGGGAAGATGTGCAGCTCCTCTGCCAACGTTGTGGCCTTGTTCATTCGGTTGGCAGCTTCTGTTTAATGCAGTTCTCCAGCACCACCCACTTTCTGCAACACCTGGCTGCCTGCAGACCCTACAGCTAGAAGGAAAAAGGCAAGACCTGCTTTTTCTCTGGTTTAATTCTCTTTGGCTGCTGGTGTTGCCCCTAGTTCAGCTCTGGGTGAGCTAATAATGGAAAGTGGTCCTCAGAGGCTGTAGTGAGCTGCCTGAAATACTCCCCCCATGTTTTGTAGGGCCACTGTCCGTGTTGAAGTTGTACTTTGGGGGGCTTTGGAGTGTATTTCTTGCATATTTTACTGGTTTGCCTGGTGATCACCTTTTGCACGAGGCCAGGTGTGCTCCAGTACCTCTGACCTGTGTGGGAGCTGGTGGATGTGTAAATCACGAGCAGCAGCACCCTGCTGCAGCCTCCCCAGTGATACACACTTGCCTCAGTCCCCAAACCCGATCTTCACAGACCAAGCTGGGAATTGTACACGAGAGCTGCAAGGTGAGACAGTCTCCAGACCCTCATTGTATAGAGAAGAGGAGGAGGAAAACCATGGGGTGGCAACATCCTGGAAAGAATGACTTCCCTCCCAGCTGCTCCTGCATCTCTGAGCAGGGAAAATCAGGTGGGCGGTCTGAGTCTGCAAGCAAAGTGCCCTGCACAGGGACACAGTTTTTAGCAGTGCTCGTGGATGGTATTCCCACCCCATGGGGCTGCCACTCTTACACTGGCTGTGTAAGGAAAATCTGCCCTGCACAGCTCTGTGGGATGGACAGAGAGGCAGGAAGAGCAGCAGGCAGTGCTTGGAGCCCCTGGTCGTGCTGCAGTCCTTGCCGGGCTGGTGTCTTGGCAAGGTGGCTCCAGTGGATCTGGCTGCTCTGACACTTGGCTGTAGCTGCTCAGAGACCTTCAGGAGAACCAAAGACAAAAGTGTCAGAGCCCAGTGCCTCCCTGCTGCAGCCCAGCCTTCCTGGATGTGAGTGGTCAGAGCTGTTTGACACTGACCCGTGTGGTAGTACCAAGGCTTTCCTGCCTGAACTCCCGGTGGAGTTACACTGGGATGCAGTAGGGCTGTCCCAGGACCGTGTTTCCCTCTCCCGTGGGGTTTTGGCAGGGCGGTGAGCTGCCTGTGCTAACCTGTGGCCTCTCTCCTTCCTACGAATTCCCAGAGGACACGACCTCGGTCCCTGCATCACCCACGTCATCTGGGTGTGGGGAGCACTTGGTGACGAGGATGCCCCACAGAGAGGCTGGGAGCGCATCTGCCCCTGGTGCCAAGGTCAGCCGTGAACGCAGGAGGTGAGGTCCCTAAAAGCCTCCCATCCTCCGCGATCCTACAGCGGGTCCCTCTGCTCTGCTCTGCGGCCGTTTCCCTGCTCGCCGGCCGGAGAAGGGGGACCCAGCCCTCCTCCGTGCCGGGGAAGCCGCGGATCCCCGTCCGGGCTGCTCCGGCAGCGGCAGGTACGCGGCCCCAGCCCCGCTGCAGCCCGCTCCGACCTGCGGGGCCGTGAAACTCCCCGAAAAACAGCGAAACCCCACAAAGCAGGAGGGAAGGGAGAGCCGGGAAGGACGGGAAAGCGCCGGGGCTGCGGGAAGGTTCCAAGTTTCATCTTCCCCGGCCGGGCGGGACCGTTCCTCTGCGGGTTTCCCCTCCCCGAAACCGATGCGGTTTGGCGGAGACGGAGCTCCGCTTTCCCGGGGCCGCTTCCCCCTGCGGCCCCGCGGAACCGGCGCCCGGAGCGGACCGAGCCCCGCTCGGCGCCAGGGATCACTGGAGACGAGCCCTCCGGGGCAGCTCTCCGGCTTTGGTGTTGGGATTTTATTTCTTTGGTTGTTATTTCTTTTTTGTTTTCCTCCTCCCAGCACTCATTTTCTTTAAACACTCCGGAGCAGCAGGAGCGAGGCGCCCGGGGCGATGCGCAGCGCGGGGGAGCGCATCCCCGCCGGGGACCGCCCCGGGCAGGGGACCGACTTTCCCCAAAAACTGCCGGCCTGGGCTTCTCCTGGAAGGGGGACTTGATTTCCAGCCGGTTTCATTACTGGGAGAGACGCTGTGGTGGGGCACCACCCTCTACCTTTTTTTTTTTTTTTTTTTTTTTTTTTTTTTTTTTTCTTTTCTTTTCTTTTCTTCTTTTTGGCTTTCTAAGAAAAGAAGGAAAAAGAAGCCAGGGAGCGGAGCGGAGCCGGGGCGGCCAGGCCGAGCCGTGCACCCCGGATCCGGGAAAGGCCGACGGCCCCTCGAGGCGTGGCGGGGCCGGTGCCTGCAGCCAGGCAGGAGAGCGGGGAGGAAACTTATTTCGAGTGGGGTGGAGAGGGGAGGGCAGGGGGTGGGGGTCGGGCAGGGAGGTATCAGCTCCAGGAAATGTGCCTTGGCAGCAGTCGGACGGGCGCTTCCCCGCAGGTTGGTGCGCTCCTCTCCGGAGCCGTCCAGGGAGCCGCGGCTCGCTCCGCACCCCGGGCAGCGCCGGCGGCGGGGAGGCGGGGGGGTGCGCTACAGCCGGGGAGGCAGGAGCCGCCGCAAGACCCCCCAGGAGCGGTGGCTGCCGACGCCTCTCCCGCCGGCTCCTCGCAGGAAGGCACCGCCCGGGCCGCTTCAGGTAAGCGGCCGAGCCCCGCCGACGGCAGCCCCGCATCCTCCCGTCCCGCATCCTCCCGTCCGCGGCTGCGGGAGGCCCGGCTCCGGTGGCCTCCCCACGTCGGGGCCGCGGGGTTGGGGGGCTGCTGCGAGCCCGGCCGGGGCAGCGGCTGCGCAGCCGGAACGGGGGGCCCGAGGGGTTCTCCCGTAGGGAGGGAGGAGGGAGCGCGGCGCCGGGAGCGGGCGGGCAGCCGGGGCGGGGAAGCCCCGGCCGGGGGCGGCGGGGCCGGCGGCCGGGCTGAGCGCGGTGTGTCCGGTCTGTGTTGGCAGGCGGGCGGCGCGGCTCCTCGCCCGGCCCGGCTCCCCACCATGCTGGACGGGCTGAAGATGGAGGAGAGTTTACAGAGCGCCCTGGACCCCGCGACCCCCTTCTCCTCCTTGCTGGGTAAGTCGGGGCGCTCCGCTTGACCTTCTGGGGACCCCGTAAGGCGGGGCACGGCCGGGCGGGCCCGAGCGATGGATGGGCACGGGGGGTTCGAGAGGCCCGGGGATGGCTTTTCCCGGCTCGTTCCTGCCCGGCGCCGCGCCGCTGCCTTCGCCCGGGGTGTGCCACCGGCGCCCGCCTTGGCTGCCCCAGCTTCGTTCCGCGATTGCATTAAATTGTGTGTCCCCCTAAACCCCCCTTGTAACGACGGGCTATCCTTCGTATCGAGCAATAAATAATTCATTTTTTCTTTTTATCTTCGTTTTAATATCGGTTTCAAACGGTAGCCCTCTCTCTGAGCTGCGGCTCCGCTGCCGCCTTTCCAAGAGGAACGAAATTGGGGGCGATGTGTCCCCCCCGGAGCTGCCCTGAGGCACAGGTCCCTCCTGGATTCCGCAGCAGCTCCCCGCACAGCCCCGTCCCCCCGCGACCCACGAGCATGTGCGGGGGAAGCGAGAACCGCGGGACCCTCCGTCCGTCCGTCCCTCGCCCGGCCCGTGTCCCCGGCCGCCTTTCCCTCCGCCCACCCCAGCCCCCGGCTCCTTCCCCGCAGGCAGAGCCGCGACCCCCAAGTCGGTGTGCGAAGGGTGTCAGCGAGTGATTTTGGACCGGTTCTTGCTGCGCCTGAACGACAGCCTGTGGCATGAGCAGTGCGTCCAGTGCGCGTCCTGCAAGGAGCCCCTGCAGACCACCTGCTTCTACCGCGACAAGAAGCTCTACTGCAAGCTGGACTATGAGAAGTAAGTGTCGCTTGCCCCTCGGGGAGCCCCCCTCGCTCTGCTCTCACCGCCCACAAAGCCCCAGTGCCCTGCGAAAAAGCTTGTGGGGGGGACTGGTGTCCCGGTGCTGCTCCTCACTTCCCCTGCCCTGTGTTTCCCTGGAGGTGTCAGCCCTTGCTGTGCTGCACGGCGAGTTGTGCTTCTGCCCCGCGGTCTCGTTGCCGCCTGGTTCTCCCCTTTTCAGAGGTGTTTCGTTGTGCTCAGGTTATGTGTGCCCTGGGAATTGAGGATGTTTTGTTGGGAGCCTGGGAGACCCACGGTAACTCCTGGTCTGCGCGGGGACGGGGCCAAGCATTTTCCCCTGGATTTATTTTCCAACGGAGCATCTGCAGGAGGAAAGTTATATCCTCTGTGACCTGGTCCTGGACGAGGCTATTATCCTACTATCCTCACAAGCAGGGAAATGCTATTGCTCTCCCCCCTGGTTGGTGGGGAAACTGAGGCACTTGGCAGGAACCAGGGAAGGCCCTGCTGAACTCGGAGTGTTGACTGTCATGCAGAGGCTTTTCCTGCATCCGGCTCTGTGATGGTAAAGGAATTTGGGTTTTAAAGCCTCCCAGCCCTGACGCTTTCCCCTTTGGAAGTGTGGGGTTAGGGGGAAAGACAATGAGAAAATAATTTTTCTTTTTTAAAAGCAAAACCATTCCAGTGGGAATGGGGAGACGGCTGCTGAGTCTTTCCTCCCCTGCAGCTGCTTTCGTTTTTTCCTGCTCATCCTGCTCTTGCTGTCCTTTCCGGACCCCGCTGCCCGGCCGAGTTTCGGAGCTGTTAAATTTTTGTTGCCTCTGGGCTGGTTGTTTCTTGAGGAGGGTGTAGGTGGGGGGCCGGATCCTTCGCTATGGCGATAGCATGGCTGTCGAAGCCCTGCAAGTTAATTCCCTTTTTTATAACCAAAAACAGTGATCACTGATGCTCTCATCCCTGGCCTTTGCCGAGCTGGTGAGAGCGTGCTGGGGTCTAGCCCAGCTCCAGGCCTTCTTAAAGTTGGGGTTTTGGGGTTTTTTGGGTGTTTTTGGGGTTTTTTTTTCCGTCCTTTAAATCCTGTATTGTGGGTCTGAGTTTAATCACTATGGATACAAGGCAAATTGAAAGCAGAATTTGTGCGCGTGACCTTGTTTTCAAATGTTTACGAAAGAGCGGAAGAATGAGTGGAAAGGAGAGAGCTGCGCCATGGGGTGGGTTTTTGTCGGCAAAAAAATTGTTGAGATTGGGTGCGCTGCTTGTTTCTTTGTAGAAATTTGGCTACTGGTTCCCGTACATTTCCACCAATGTTCAATTCTTATTTTCTGCTTTATCCGTATTTTTGTTTGGACCATCACTGGGGTGACTGTCACCCAGAAATTCCTGTCCAGCTTGCGGCACATGTGGATTTTACTCTTGACTGCAGCTCGCGAGCTCTTGAAGTGGCTCCAGCCTGAAACCCTCCTCTGATGTCTGTTGGCCGCGAAAGAAATCGGTGCCGCAGTTGGCTTCTTGCTGTGCCCATCTATCTCACTGTTGGGATGGACAAGGATGATTGCGGGAAAAAAATGTCACCATTTTTTCCTGAGGTCCAGTGATAGCACCATTTTTCCTGGTGATTTCCTGGCTGTGTTTGGGTTGGTGACTTTTGCCCGAGCCGGGAGGCTGAGGCTCTGTGACGGGCGGTTTCCCGAGGTGTGATGGTTTTAACCCTAACTTGCTGCTGGCCTCTTCCCCTCCTGCCCCTGCCTGCTTCTTGCCATCATCTCATTGTCCCCTTGCATTTAATATTAATTATTTTAGCATGGGGGTGCAGGTTTGTGTTCCTTCTCCTTTCATCCGCCCCGCAGGACTCTGCTGTGCCGCTGGTGTGATTCCTCACCTGGTGATGGCAAGGATGCAGAGCAGAGTCCCAAAGAACTGCTCCCTTTGGGCTCTGCCGAGCTTTATATAACACTCTTTATTTACCAAAAATCCTTCTTTCTTTTCCCAAATGCACGTCCTGCCTTTGGACTGAGCATTTTCCTGGGTGCAGGAGCACCGTGCCTCCTTGGCCACGGTGTCAACGCCGATAGCAGGGATTTGAGAGCGAAAAGCGCGGAGGAAGAGCCGCTGCTCTCAGACTGAGCTCATTATCTCGAGCTGGTTAATTATCACAATTGACTGACACTCCTTGCAGTGGAAAGCCGCCGATCCTCCCGGTGGCAGCGGCGTAGCCGGGCTCCTGAGGCCTCTCCGGGTGGGAGGGCTGCGTGTGGAATGCTGGGGGTGTCAGGGAAGCAGTCGGGATCCAACCTGCCGCGGTCACGGCGTCGGGGTTCTGCGGTTGTGTTTGGTTGTGGGGTTTTTTGTTTGTTTTGTTTTGTTTTTAAATCAAAAGAAGGGATTTCTCTTCCAGATGGTGAACGCTGGGGTGTTTTCCCAGGGACGAGTAGGTGCAGAATTTTCCAGCATGTCTCTGTGCTCTGTGTTTGAGCTCTGTTTGTAACAAGGCCGCAGAGGGTTAATGAGGGAGCGCGAGACAGCAGCTATGCCTTCAGTTATAAATACACCCATGGAAAGTGTTACGGACGGATTTAAGCGAGCATCTGACTCGCTGGACTCTAGAAATCGAAGAGTAATTTGTTAAAACACATGTTTTACATTTCTTTGTCTTCCACAAAGAGGAAGAACTTGGGAGAGGACTTGGAAAGGGATGGATTAAAGGCCGAGGGTGCCAGGTCAGGTCTTGGCATCTCTTCGGGGTGCCACGGCTCAGGGCCCATGGGCGGCTCAGATGGTGATGCTGTGTGGGAACCTGGGGAGTTGGGGGTCACTCTTGGAGCAGTTTCCCCAGCACTGACGGGGAGGGCTCCTGGAGAGGGACGGCTTAAGCCTGTGCCCCTGGGACGGAGTCTATTTGGAGCAGAGGACGCTCATTACAGAACATCCCGAATCCCGCGGCAGCCCCCGGCGCTTGTCCAAACCTGATAAGTCTCAACTATGACAAGGTTCAGTCTTCGCCCTGGCCGGCTCCCCGGCTGCAAAGTGGCCCTGGGGACATGCCCCGGCTGTGGGGCCCCGGTGGCGGTGGTCAGGGGGATGGGTTTTTGTAGTGGCGGATTTGGGGGTGCAACACCAAACCTGGCCATAAACTGGGAGGAGTGCTGGAAGTGATGAGAAGAGTAGGGCTGCTCTGGAGCCTTAAAATCTGCACGAGGATGGGAATCGTTGAGCTCCCTCTTCCCTAGTGGTGTTTCACAGCAGGTTTGCACGGGCCGAGCAGAGCCAGGCACGTAGGGACGACCTGGAGGCACGGGAAGATCCCCACGGCAGGTTTGGGGGCCGGCAGCGCTGACAGCGGTGTGGTCATGACGGGGGGCGCAGCTGGGGAGCGTGGCGACGGCGGGACGGCTTGGCACATCCCCAGCCACGGCGCAGAGCCCCGGCCCCAGCCCCGGCTGGCAGGAGCAGATGGCCAGCACATCTCGGAGCAGGCCTGGCATGTGGGCGCCGGCAGTGGAGGGGCGGCTGCAGCCCCCGAGCCGCCACCGCCGTGCCGGGCTCCCCGGCCGAGGCAGGCAGTTGTGTGATGCTCGCCCTGTCTTCGCACGGCGTGATGGCTCTGTGCTGTTGCCAGCTTCCGCGCCGGGCTCTCCTTGCCTGCCTCCAAAATCCCTTGCTCCTAGAGTCACGGGCTTGAGCGGGTGCTGCCGCCTCCTCCTTCGTGAGTTAAAATCTGAAGTTGTGTCCGGCTGCAAAGGTAAAAAAAATAAAAACCCTTCCACCCTCCTGGCGCGCACGCATGCGAAGGAGCTCGTTGGTGTTGGGTTTTAAAGTCGCACCCGGTGCCTTCGCGTGGGGGATGAGCCTCAGTCCTCGGCAGCGTGGTCCTGCCAGGATCATCCATGGATGGATCTGGGCTCAGGGTAGCCTCCTCTGGCCCGCTGGAGGCTCCTCTGGCAGCTGCTGCTGTAGAGGAGGCAGGGGGAAGAGCTTTGGAGCATGGTGGCTGTTTATCCTGCTTAACGTGGGTAATGTAATTGCGTAATTACCTGGCGCTGCTTCCCCAGCCCGGGAGGGCTGTGAGGGGAATAATCCCAGATGGATCGAATGGAGGCAGTGCTGGGCACTTCAGCACAGCCTGGTCCCACCAGCTGGAGAGTTCCTGTGGTGTGGTGGGTTTGTCCTGGGGTTTGCAGTCTCTCACCTTGCCTTCTCTCACTTGGAGAAGTGGGAATTTCTGTGCTTTTTGTGGCTGATGGGAGAGAATTGTCCCTCCAGAGAGCCACAGGTCAGCCCAGCTGCAGTCCAACATGTTTTCTGGAGGCCTGTTTCCCTTCTTGTAGGGCATCCTGTGGAGATGACGAGGCTGACTTGGGTTTCTCCAGCTGTCCAGGCACTGGGAGCAGTCAGGCTGGCCTGGACGGGATAGCAGAGCACACACCAGCTCCGTGACACAACATCCCTCTTGGTGATCTCTCTTTCCTCATCTCTCAATCTTTCCCTCTAGTGCTTCCCATGCTTCTTGCCTGCTCTCCATCCTTTCCTAGCACCTCATCTCCTGTAGCAAACAGCCCTCTGTCCTCACCCACAGCTCCTGGAGGAACAGCGCTGACTCCTTGTGGGCTGGGAGGAGCGCGGCTGTGGGGCAGCTGAATCCCCACCAGGGATGCCGTGGTTGGTACTGGGCTGGGACCAGGCACCGCCTCTTTTGGTTTTTGTTAAGTCAACTTCTTGTGCTGGCAGGGGGTGGGAAGGCAGGGAAGCAGCGGGAGGGGTGTTACAGAGGCCACTGTGGGATCCGTGCTGGAAATTCCAGGCAAGCTAAATAGGCCTTGCCTCTATCTCCACCTCTGTCCTCTCACTCATGGGGCTCCTCCTTCCCAAAGGGAGCAAAGGAGAGATTTGGCATCTTGCCCCTTCTCTCGGCTCTTAATTAGATTTGTCTTAAAATTAACGTTTCATAGAAAGGCCTGGAAGTGAGTGAGGTTTGGCAGATTGGAAGCTAGGCAATCGAA